TTTTACTGCTGTGACTGGAGGCCATTTTGTTCTTCATGACATATTGTTATTGAAGTGGCAGCAACATCATTGCTACATCATAGATTATATATGGCAAGCACTTTCTTTAATTGCCAATGACACATTTAAAATATTATCCTCTCATCTAACATGTAAACTTCCATGAAAAAAGTCTGCTTAAAGAAAAAAATGATTGGAATGAAGTTCGTGATGTGGGTTGCTTAAACTTGGGAGAAACATCTTGTGTTCATCATCTCACTATAGCACACAAATATCTATGTATTTGTTTGTTTCTTTGACAGTCATCCAAACTTGGCTCAAGGGTACATCTTATGTACCTGAAGGTTCTTATCTATATCAGACGTTGTCACATTGCCTAGCAACGACCTGGCAACAAGCTAAAATGACTCTTGTAATACCTTATAAAAACATTGTTTCATTTTTATTTTATTTTATTTTATTTAAAATCATAAAACCATAATCATTCATGATACTTTATGCCATCGGTTTACCTGCCAACCACCTAGCAATGGGCTAAAATGTGGCTAAAATTTGTAACAGCTAATGAAAAATTTAAATGGTTTTTATTTCATGGATATAACATCTCATTTATATCAACAAAAGCTGAATCATACATAATAAATCATAACTTCATCATTTTACCTGGAAACCATCTAGCAATGGGCTAAAATGTCCATGCATATAGCATTTTATAAAAGAATCATGTCATATTAATTTAATGCCCATCAGCATGAACAGGCCAAACATGTGGACCTTTACTAGTGTATATAATGTTCTTATTTATAACAAATCGACTGATATTAGAAAAAAAAATTTTTGGCCAAAATGTGCAACAAACCTGTGATTGCGAGGTGATTACACAGGTCACTTTATGGGAGACAGCCTCTCTCCAAACAATCACACACATTTGAACAGATAGTATTCACTCTCAGACATATTGGGGAAGGTTTGCAAATAACTGGCATCTAATTTATATGCTGTTTAATTTTACGGAGTACGAGCAAGTCTCGTTGCTTTTCTGTTTTCACTGGACTCTGAATGCTAGTAATTAAAAGGAAATGTCTGTGAATGTGTTTAAGCAACAGGTTTCTACAGATTTATCACACTTAATCCCCGAATTATTAAAACAGAATACATGTAATTGGCAACTTGACCCCATTTGATTGCAAACTGATAGCAGACTGACTGCAAGTGGTTGCAAACCTGGTTCCTATCTGGGAAGTAACCAGACTCCAAGTTCATTACACACTGTTGCACTAATTTTGGTTGTGCCATGGTCTCCAGCCACTGTTTTCCCTAGTGTGACGTTACCATTAGGATTCAAGGAAAACAAAATAAAAAAAAAGATTGAATACTGAGTCAGTCTCCGTTTGTTGTTAAGATGCATGAATGAAAAAGACCGAGACTATTTTGTGTGTGCTAGATTTTCAAATGGACAACTGTTTGACACTTTACATCTTAATATGAAAATGTTGTGTTTATATTCCACTGCTCCCGGTAATGGTGTATGAAATTAGATATCCAGTGGAAAGAAAGGATATAGATTATCTCATATCCTTTCTTTCTTTCTTTTTTTTTTTCTGTTTCCTCATTTGCCTTTTTTTTTCTTATTTTGACTTAATCAATGCATGGTAGGAAAAAGAAATCACAGGATCAAAGCAACACATTCATTAACTTTTTAGCAAAGGTTTTACTGGCATCACCCTGTAACTGTAAGAGCTGTTGTTTTGTACAGATAAAGGCTTTTAACCAGTTGCGACGTTGGTTGTTGGTGGTTGGGTGGGGGGGCTGCAGAGGGCAGTTGACAGGTCTAGGCTGTACACCAAGAGGCAAGACAAAAAAATGCTTTGTGGTCCTGATATGAATTTCAGTACCCCTGTTTCTACACCTCCTCTCTTGGCCCCACTGTGGCTCGCAGAGTGAACAAAAACGATCTCCATGAGAAAACGCAAGCTTGAGCACTCAGAGGCGACAGTGAATGGAGCACCGACAGGAGCAGCACACACTGACCAGTGCTAGTTATGTGGTTCTGTTGTCTGCTTATTGTAATAGCAACCATTTAGTTTGAGCAAACCAAAACTTTTTTTGTGCTGAAGTACTGCGTGCATTTGTTTTAAAATCTAGATTTGCTTAAACAGTGTGTCTGCATTTGTGTATCATAGTGTACCAAACCTGCCTCAAAGCATCCAGAATGGCGAGATCTTGAGTGGGTAGGGTTCACTGTGTGTCCACCCCCTAAGTAGTGACAGATGCCAGGCACAGTTGGGGAAGGAAGCGCCAGGGTCTCCTTCCGTATTAGCCAAGGGAAATTCTCATTTGGGCACGGGACCAACGAGATTCAGAGCCAAGCCTGAAATCTGAAGATGTGATCTGCTTGCATTTATGCTAAGTCCTGCAGTACATTTGTATGTGGATGCCAAGAAGCATTGGTTTACTCATCATACCCTACTGCAGTGGATGTAAATGCATTTTTATTGTTGTGCCCAGTCTTTCGTTACTTTTAAGAGACAATATCGCTCTTGTAATAATTCACAGACTTCACTGCTTTTAATTTTTTTTATTGTAACTACTTTCTGAGAAATATTACTCATGAAAACTGTGCACTGTATGCTGTTTTGCGCCAAGGTGTCTTGATGAAATTTCAAGTTGTGGTTTTTCTTTCAGCGCATTTGAAAAACTGAGATGCAACACAAGCATGGCCGTACATATGAAGTGAAAATATGTGTTGTTTTTTTAACTGATACTTTTAAGGGTTGTATTTCAAAGGCGTTACGTGGCGCAAAACTCGATATGTTTCAGGCGTACAATAAATGTGATTTAAAAGGTAAACCACAGAGAGGAATTCATGTTTGTGTATGTGACAAAAACAGCTTAATGCTTATATGGTTAATAATTTTTAACTTGACAAGTAGTATGCAGAGGAAACACCACACAAATCTAGTCCTTGTGCAAAATATTTTCATTCCTACAGCCCTATTCATGCAAGCAGGCACGACTATCAGCTTGAAGGTGATGGTGTTCTTGGCCTTGAACTCACAACTTCTTTTTATGTTTTTGCCAGCATAATAGCAGCCACGCTGAGGATTGAGACACTTTAAAAGCCACCTCTTGATAGGGGGGGATGCTTGAATATCGAACTGAACGATGAACGGAAACCAGTGTTTTTAAATAACTGGGGACACGATAGAATTCAGCTGTACTCTATTTGGCCATGTAAATCATTAATATGCAAACTCTGGGTTTACTTCCCAGGCAGTAATGTCAGACTGACAGCAGTCGCACGATATCATAGACACTTTGAGGAAAGCAAACCATAACAATGGGGCTGATTTTACTTAGAACTGGTTTTTGTTTGACAGTCGTCACGGACCACATGTTTACAAAGTGGGTTAAGACTCTGGGGCTGGGAGGAGCCAAAGGCGTGGTCAAAAAGTAGTTGGCTTTTTAACATTATTGATAGACCATTAAGTCGGCCAGGTATCTGCTAGGTATGGATTAATTGTATATGGCTTATAACCAGCGTGTATCTCAGCCGTACAAGTAACCACTTATAGAGAAGGAGCATTTACCAGAATTACCAGACACAGTTGCTAACCAGCTTTGAAATGAAAGTTGTTTGTTTGGGTCGATCAATGTCAGGCAACCCGAAGAAAGTAAGAATGATGGTGTTTTCACACATGCACTGCAGCCCTGAATTTTTTAGGTATTACCTGATGGAGGCATAAGTAAGAATAGGAATGTTAGATCAGACCTTAATTCACCTTCAGCCAACCAGCTTCCTAAAAAAAAGGTCAGTGTGATGGAAAGCAGAGGTAATGTGTATAAAGCAGAGGTCACTGTCTGGTGAATTCACACTGTGTTTCCTGCCTTGTGCATGCCCTTTTTATGCAGCTTCCACGCCTAAACCAAAGGGAGTATTTCCAGTAGTGATAATGTGTTTGAAGTGAACTATCTCATGCTACATGTGGGAAAAGGGAAAATCTGGTCAATGTCCTGCCCTGATTATCGATTAGCTCAACATTCTCCAAAGTTCATGGCTTAAGTTGAACAGTAGAGGCCTTCTGGGTACATGCCCAGGAACATTATTATGACGTTAAGTCAAAATATTGAAAATTTATTAAATTAAATTACTAAGAAGTGCAAAATTACTCAAAGACACTTAAAACAGACCACAAGGTGAATCAGAACAACTAAAAAGGGAAAAATAATACTGATGCTAATAATGGAGATAACGAAAAAAGAGCTGAAACTTCTCTGTTTTTTGTATTCTTTTGGATTCATCAGTGGAAATGTCCCCTCTGAGTATCAAGCAAAATACGTCATCTCATTTGGATCCACAATATTTAACAGCAGCTTACTCTCGTTTTCCCAGGGTATATGGCCAGGCCCATTAGCACACAAGGACTCTGCATCTACACCACACTGATAGAAGATTTAGACATGATCTGAACTCTGAAAATAAATCGGCTCAGCATTATAGTTTACCGGTGTATAATCCATTTTCTTAAGCAACTGTTCTTTCTTTGCTTGAGTGGTTATTTCCAAGCCACCAGCCAGTCAGAGTTCACACAGACTCTGATACCAAAGTTGGCATTTCCTATATTTTCCTAAGAATTAAAGTCCCTCCTTCAAAACCTAATATCTCACAAAAACCCACCGGGGATTGATAAGAGATTATAAAAAGTAATCTGTGGACACACACATTGTTTTTAGGGATAAAGATACTGATTTAAGTGCATGGCATCATGGCCATCCCCCTGCACAGCCTCTGTAGCGCTAGCACGGCAGCTACAGCAGCTGTGCATCCTCAGAGTATCAGCAGGTCTCGATGCCTTTTTGCCTACAATAAACTATTTGTAATGATCCGTTTGAATATCTGAATGTAAAGAAATACACCAACGAATCCCTGAGGAGCTCACATAGCTGCACTCTGACAACAGTTCAACTTTCACACTCTCATTTGTGACCATCACTCCTACCTTGGTCGCTGGTTCCTGCAGGCGGATAGTCCTCAAAGTCCTGGTCATCAGGACTTTTCCGTTTCTTCGACATTTGCTGCTCACTGTTCGGGTGATTGATATATCCACCGCCGAATTGATATCTGCTGACAACGTGAGACACCTTCAACCGGCAGGGTATAATACACATACAACAGTCTGGGGGTGGCGATAAGAGAAATGCGAATAAATCTCAGTCCCGTTCATTCAGATTCCTTCTCTATATGTGCCCTTTGCAGCGTGCTGTGTGCGCAAAGTTACCATGTGGCGGCCAGTCGAGCATCTGGAGACGCAGCGAAACAAGAGGCCCGTCAGCTCTTGATTCCCGCCGTAATCACACAAGATGCGTCTCCACGTCCGTCCGGGGTTTATTTCTCTTGACAAATGAGAAATATTTGCAGCTGGAGTGATTTGTCGATCACGTGTGTCGCGGATTACGCTTCAGACCTGCTCAGATGGAAATTACGCACTGGAGGCAACTTGTTGATCCACCTCTATATAAGAAAGAAAAAAAGTGGTTTTCGTCATCCCGGATGCGTTAAAAAATCATTTTAGACTTTCAACATTGTGTGAGGTATTTTGCTTGAATGGTGCTCGGCGACGTCAGACTACAAGTCTAATCAGGCATCGATGACGCACAGCCGACACAACGGGAACTCTTGGGTATCTTCAAGAGTAAAGGCCAATGTAAACGGAGATTAGCTGGACGTGCTCTGCCCGATAAAGTACACCGAAGCATACGTTCCTCTGGCAACATCTGCGCTACACACTATGTTGCGAGTAGAAAACACTCTCCGGCAACATCTGTTAAGGAGGGGAGGATTCCTTTCCAGCGTAAAATTGGAGACAGTGTTCTACAGAAGTAGTGTAGGGGGAGTACAGTACCTTCTTTTTCACAATACCATCAGTCCAGCGACGAGTGGAGAACAATGTTTTTGTCTGTAATACGTCTCGCACAAAACCTCCTAATCCGTGTGCGAGACTAACATAAATCGAACAAACACGCATGATGTTGTGAAGACCAGTCTTGAACGAATAGGTTTGGTTTGACTTCAGTGTTCGGGAGCCACAGAGCAACTTGAGAATGAGCTGTGAATAAATGAGGCAGAAGAATCGTGGTATTACGCACAGTATATACAGCAGCAGCCAATGACGCCACTGGTCTGGCTTTTACAAATTGCTTGATGGTAGTTTTTCCCTCTCCGCTCGACTCGCCTAGGAATGCCAGAGAATAGTGAAATCAGCGCCCTTCTTTTGCTACAGCGACAAAGGACTGTGCGTGCTTGGAGATTTTGAGGAGATATCCAGCTGGATAGAACTGCACAGACAGTATCAGATTATCAGTGACTGCTACACATTCATTTTGCTTTTTTGGAGAGTCACAGAGGTGTGCCTGACACCAGTTGAGCAAATGCTCTCCCTCCCGCTCGCCCTTCATTCTCTCATAGTTGATTTATTTATGAGCACTCCCGGGTCAGAGGATCTTATTCCATTTACTACATCTGGTTTAGATTTCAAGCGCCGCGCGCATATCGTTTCTACAAAATGTGCATACTCTGATGTCAAAGCGAGTAGTTTGGAAATCAAACATAGGTTCGTTGCTACAGTTGCATTCGTGCCAGTGACGCTGGCATTTCGTGGTATTTTCTGAAGGCAAAGACGCATCTCCCTCCCTCGCTCGCGCTCTCTCTCTCTCTCCCCCCCCCTCCCATTCCTCACTCACTGCAGCTACTGACGTCAAGACATGCTTGCGTCAATGCTCCCTGCTTTGACAGAGAGCTTTTTTTTCATTGGGATCATAATGGGATTATTAAGCTTAGAGAAATACCCTGCCTTCGTGGCTTTTTCAGATTTTTGATAGATGTTTCTATTATTATGATGATGATGATTCTTTTGCTTTAAATATAATTCCTTATAATAAGCAAAGGACACGGGCTATAATTGACTCTTGCAAGAAGGACTGGTTGTATATCATTCCACAGTCTGATGATTATGCCTTCCCTTTGGATTTTTTTTATTGCACTTGTAATAGTCTATAAAAGCCATGAGCACAGAACAAGAGAGAACCTACACGGATAAGTCTGTTTGTTTACACACCAATGCCAAAGACAAATATGTGTCTTTAGATGTGAATCTCTATAAAAATCAAGCAGTCACATTTTTTTTTGGTGTGTGTTACCCCCAGTTAGAGTCAATCCACCTTTGCAGTGAGGATTTATTTAACACTGATGTGTAATCACATCCAGTTTAACATCTCTGTAGTACACAGGCTGAGACCATTTCAGCTGCTCAGATAGGTTTACAGTGAGATGCTTAGAGACATGAGTCAGTTGTGTATTTGATTTAGCAGATTAGATGTCCGTTCCTTCCTGTCAGTGTGCGGTTGCGGTTCGTACAAAGGAGAGGATGTCTTGATGTCCTTATAGACTGACCTTGATCTTCTGGACTGAATGGGCTTTTGTGCCTCTTGGCTAGCCTTCTGTCGCTTCAGTCATAATGTCCTTTTCCCCCTGCAGTTTAGTGAATTTCTGCACTTTTTGTTACTTGATGGCTTAATCTTCAAACATGATAGTTTTGCATATATCAGTACAGAATTCTTTAAGTGTCTGTATTTTGCAGTTATAGAAATGTTTTGTTGAGGTGTGAGTACAAAGAGTGAATAGAAAAAAATGAGACATTGATCATAATGTAACACAATTGTAGTAATAAAAATCTCCTGTTGCAAAATGGGAAGATAATCAGGTTTGAGTTGAAAAAATACAGTCATGTGAAAAGGAAAGCTTGGCGGCACTTTCTATTACAGCTTGGTAATAAAGTAGTAACAGTGCGGTAATAAGATGCAAACGAGACAGTAATCATATATAATTGGTGAGATATTGCCATGTAATTACCAAAGTAATGCACAAGTAATGACCAAGTTCTACTTTGTATCAACAATGGTTTTAGCTGAGTAATATTACACTGGAATTTATGCAACTGGGTAATCAGAGGCCAAAACCTGGGGGTGATAATGTGGAAACTAATAAATCTCTATGAGGGAAAAAACAGGTAATAATAGTATAGTAATATATTGCTCACAATGACAAACTGCGGGATAACAGCTTGGTTGGCATAGTGGTAACTGCCCAGCAGGGCTTGGAAGGAGAAAGAGTGCCACCAACTCATTCAGTAGAAACTGCGTGCTAAATAGGAGGAAACCTGTGATGCTCGACAAACAAGGACCCTGAACAAGTGGGAGAATGCTGCAGGTAAAATCACTTCAGCAGAGCTCTAAAAGATGGAAGCTCTCTGCTTCAAGTTTCTGGGGAAGCTGGTATACAATCTTCTTCTGAGCACCTCCAACCTGTATAGTTGAGGCCTGGCTGTCTCACCTTTCTGTCACCAGAAGGTCACACTGGACCACATTCTCAGCAGCTGCCAAGGAGTTTGGGAGGGTGGGGGCGTTACCACTGGCACCACAAGCATCTTCTTTGGGTGTTAGCAGATACCATCTGTGCTGTCATAAACCACAGCAAGAAGCAACAGCAACTGCAAATTTTCCTGCCCTTCAGGGCCAGACTTGTTTACACCAGTATTTCAACATCTTTCTTGGGCCCACACTGCCCCAACAAAGGGTGCAGGGAAAGCTCCTGGCAATAACAAGAGACTGGCAGCTTCTGGGTGATCTTGGGAGACAGCTGAGGTTCCCAGACAGTCACCACACGTAGGCCTGATACAGGCCTGCTGTCTGAAGAGTTGAAGCAAGTCATCCTGCTGGAGTTGACTGTCCAATGGGAAGATTAGTTGGAGGAAATGCAGGAAAGAAAGAAGGTAAAACATGCAGAACTGGTTGCCGACTTTCGGCAGGTGTGCTGAGAAGGTGTGCTGCAAGCCTGTGGAGGTGGGGTGTAGGGCCTTTGCAGGTCAGTCTCTAAAGTTCTAGGGCTTGTGGGGATGTATGGACTGCAGAATAGTATCAAAAACATCCTGGAAGCTGCAGATAAGTCCTCCTGAAGGCTTTGCTGAAGAGGGCTGATACATGGAGGAGCATGCTACCTGGACAGAAGCGGGGCCTAATCACCCGTGGCTGGGTTACCAGGGAGAGGGTGTCTGATGTTAAGACTCTGTGTGCATCACTGACTATTTGTCCAGGTTACATCACAAGAGACATTCACATTTGTGACTGCCAGAGGTCATTTTGTAGTGCTCATCCTGTTCCTCCTTTCATAAAGAAGCTGACCTTCTGGCAATGGTAAGTATTGATTTGCTATCCTGGAGGTGAGGAACTGGACTACCTGTGCAACCTCTGTAGGATCCAGGTGTTGGTTCATGCTGCAAGTAGCTCCTTGAGGTGACTGCTCTTGTGATTTGGTGCTATATAAATAAAATGGAATCGAATTGAAAATAGTGACACATGACACCTGCAAAACTCTTGAAAAAAGCAGTCAGAAAAAACAACCTCCACCATTCTTTTTAAGGGGGTTGTCTTATTGTTGCTGCTCTAGTGGGCCTGTTGTTGATTTCATTAACACCGAAGCAGCTAAAACTGATTAACAACCCCCTCTGCTACTTAACTGACCAGGTCAATATCCCAGAAATGTAACTGATTTGATGCTACACTTGGATTAAAACGTGTTCATGTAATTCTTGGTTAAACAATACTCCTTTCTTCAAGCTTACAAGATGAACTTCCTCACAGAATGATAACTGTAATAGAAAGTGCTGTCAAAATCTTCTGTTACACAATTGGAACATAATTAAATCTTAAATGAAAGTCCAGTTGGGTTTAAATATATACAGTGACAGATTTATTATTTCTTTATCAAAACCAAGTAAACAAGACTTAAAAGACAAGCCTAACCTCAAGAGTGACATTATTAGTTAATTCTCATGATTGTTTGCAGTCCACTGTAAAATCACTACCAGTGTCTGTGTGTACAACAAGGAAGTAACAACTGTGGGGATAAAGGGGAAAAAAGACACAAGTTATACTGTAAGTACAGTGGGAGAAATATTTATTTGATCCCTTGCTGAATCTGTAAGTTCGCTCACCTACAAAGAAATGAACACTTTTTAATTTTTATCTGCTTTTTTCTAAAAACATAAAAGTTACAAATTTATTTGCATGTCATTTAGTAAAACAATTCATCCCCTACAAACCAGCCAGAATTCTGGTTCACAGATTGACTGTATGTCCATGTGACACATCAGTCAACTACAAATACTCCTGATGTCCTTAGAATCAGTTTCCTCCAATTCCCACCTTTCCACCACCACGGGGCAAGACCAAAGAGCTGTCAAAGGACGTCAGGGACAAGGCAGTTGATACCACAGTCACCACTAAATAACTGAAATCTTGCCACACCCTCAAGGTCCCTCTGCTCAAGAAGGCTCATGTACAGACTAGAGATGGCACGATATCACTTTTTTATGTCCGATACCGATATCATAAATTTGGATATCTGCCAATACCAATATGAAACCAATATGAATCCGATATAGTGTTTTTGAATCAATAAAACTGTTTTTAAAAAAAAAATATTGCTGCATTTTGTATAAGTTCATACTCAAGTTTAAATAAACAACAACACTAAAGCTATTCTGTTATACCTGTATGTAAAAAATGCACCCAAAATATTTCATAGTTCAGCAACACTGATCAATCTAATAAACTTAAACCTACTCAATCCTTCCTATTCTGGTATTTTACAGAGTACTTAGCAGAAATATTAAGCAACCCAACTAATAGGGTTGCAAACTCCCAGCAAAAAAAATAAAAAATAGGGAACCACCCTCCTACCCTCCACCTCATGATGCTTAATCGACATAATCAACTTTAATTTGATGCAGTGTGAAAAAAATGCACAGAAATAAATTACTTTTCAAGAATAATTAAATAGACTCAACATCTTTCTTCAACAGAATTGCAGACTGCACAGATGGTACCTTCCCAAAGGAAAAAGTAGTATAGCTTACTAGGGTATATTAGACTTAACAGTTACTATACACAGTAATTGACTTCTATATATTTTACATCAGATTAAAACTTTGGGTGTCAGATAATTATTTATTAAAAGCTAGACATATGTCTTTGTGCCCCCTTTTCCCTGTTCATGCCCTATTGGCCCCCTGGCTAAACTTTGCTAGATCCGCCCCTGCACAGTTACCAGCCATCAGCTAGAAAAAGATCCTGGTGTAGAAAGTAATATTAAATACATTCTAACAACAGCTGATCAAGGTTAAACGAGCTGCTGTTGTTCAGCCGCTGGTTTCCTCTTTCTGATGCAAAGTGGGCCAAAAACAAACAAGAGAGACGGACTAGCGACAGAAAAGCCGATCAGCTGATCATTAATCAGTTTCAGGATTGAAGTAGCAGCAGGAGAGGGAGGGAGAGAGAAGAGCCAGTTGCTCCATATATTGGTTGTTAAGTTTAATGTGGGAATGCTTTACAAACATTCAGAGATGAACTTACACACTTGCTTTACTTCTCTCTGGGATAACTTCATCAGAGATGAAATGCTGGTTTGGTAGCGAGGCTACAAATACACACAGCCACTCTATCACGTGATGCACACTGCTCCAATGTGCTAAGGTTGTGAGCTGAGTTATGCCATGTTGCAAGTTTTATGTGGAGCTTTTTTTGATATCTAATGGATCGATTAAATTTTTTATTTCTGGCAGATATCCAATCCAGTAATTTACGTCAGTATCGGACCGATACCGATACGTAATATCGGATCGGTCCATCTCTAGTACAGACTCATCTTAAGTTTGCCAGTAAAAATCTAAATGCTTCAGAGAAGGCTTGGGAGAAAGTGCTGTGGTCAGATGAAACCAAAATCGAGCTCTTTGGCATCAAGTAGACCTGCTGTGTTTGGAGGAAGAGAAATACTGAGCATGACCCAAAGGACATCATCCCCACACCCAAGCACAGAGGTGGATACATTATTCTTTGAGGCTGTGTACCGGGCGAGTTCACCACTTTGCCTTCAACCAAGAAACCGGAAGGATTTAGAAAGTTTCGTTCTCAGTCATATTTTGCTCGGAGATCCAATACTCATGTCACTCAGTAACATACAAATCCGTTCATAAGTTTTTTGTGATGTGCTTTTCTTGGATTTTTAGTTGATATTCTGTCTCCCTCCATTAAAATGAAACTGCCATAAACATGAGAGACTGCTCATCTCTATGTAAGCGAGCAAACGTACAAATTCAGCACGGGATCAAATAATTATTTCTGCCACTAAAAAATGAGTACCTTATGAGTATTTTATTTACATACAAGTTTATTTGCAATCAGCACTTTGAGGCAGTGACACAAATTAAACCACTGAAGTTCACTCCATCTAGGTCACGTGATCTGGCGCTTCAGAACATTTACTGGTAGCATGTCAGATGAGAAGGTGTTTTTTTTCTGTTCTGGACATTTTTAGTTGTTTTTCCAGGTCTGCCTGTAGATTAACACTGTGCTCCTTTCTGATGGGGGGTTGTTTGCAAACCCGAAGAGATTCTTGCAGAAGCCTGTTCTAGTCCACTTCTAGACTCCTGTAACTTCTGCCTCTGTAAGCTGGCTCCTCACTCCTCAGAAGCTTGCTCCAGATGTCTGCATCAGGTCTGCCTCTCCTCTCCTCCTCTCTGAGTTTCCTCTGTTCTTTGTTGAGTTCTCTCACTATATGATTGGTTTCCTTCTGCCTTCTGTATCTACTGGGGCATTGACATAGTTTACTTTCTGCTTCTTCAAAACTTTTTGCTGCAGAGCAGTAGATTAATTCCTGCAGTCTCTTCAACTTTATCATGGTGGTGCCTCTGAGTGTTTCTTAGATTTTGTGGAAGTAAAAACACCGACCTCCTCCCACAATGTGATTTGTGGGATTTTGGGTACTTGATTGTCACCCAGAGGCTGGGTTTGGCCTTCTGTGCTGCAAACTGTGGGTTTTTATCTTGGTACTGAAATGACTTAATCTGCCTCATAAAGGGTGTTATTGCACAGTCGCCTCTGCCTCCAAGAAGGGCCTTCTTCAAGTATGCTTTTCAAGCCTGTAGTAAAAGCATATACAGAATATACAGCAAATGTAACAGCAATGGCTTCATTGTTAGGAAAACTGACTCTGCGAACAATATAAATAGAAGAGAAATAAAAAATGACCTCACATCATGGAAAGAAGACATTTGGAAACATTCACTTCTCTGAAAAGTGAAGTCACTGAGGAAGTGCCTTAAACAAACATTGTTTTTAATGACCAGCAGGGGGCAAGTCCTCTGGTTGTAGACGTAAGTATGATTGGTCTGAATTCTATTAGAAGATGATCCCACTTTAAACTCTGTGTAAGAATATTTTTTTATAATGATTTTATGGTCTCAGTGGTTAGTTTGGAATCTCATTTAATCCAGATGTTGTTAATGTTGGAAACCCATTTGGTGTAAAACAGCTGAAAAAATAGGGTATGATTTAGAGTGGGTACTTCCTTATATGATACCACACTGTTTTCACTTTGACCAAAAAGAAGTTGAACTTACATAAAACGCGAGAGGAGCCGCTGTGCTTGCACACGACTATAGAGACACCAGAATTATTAAAGCTTCCCAAGTGATATCACATATCACAGATCCACATTAGATCTGGTGACCCAGATCTAATGTGGCATATGACCAGCGGATACGGTGCTGGTGTGAACAAAGACTGAGTTGATATCCAGTCTGAAGGAAAAAGGCAAAATAAGAAATAAAAAATAAAAATGAAAAATTAGAACTTTAGAAGAAACCAAATATTGTTGTGAAATTATTTCATTTAAAAACTACAGAAAAAAATACCTTTTTATTAAGTTGCAATTCCGCAGTGTTTCAGGTCAATAACACGGGACAAAAACAAAAACAACACTGTTGTATGTCCTGAGGTTATTTACATGTCATGCCTGCACTGACACGGCTTAATATTTTCTAACTTAATTAACAAGAAACACGCCTGGGCGTGCACTCTGACGTCAGGGTGCTAAAAAGCTTTTTGCATAATAACGGGGAGCCGAACAGGCTATAGTTTGTGCATTTAATGAGAATATTATTTAAATACCAAACCAAAAAGATTCAAAACTACAATACTACTTTGAAAATCTTTCAGCATATAGAAAACATCAAGGTTTAAGAAGTGAAACTGAGCAGGGTGTAAGTTATTCTTTTCATAATGACAACCCACACAATGTTCCAGACACAGTCCAAGAAAACGTCCCAGAGAGATATAAAAGGAAACGGGGTGTGAGCACAAAAGCTGTGTGGTTCTCTGAGATTTGTCACCCTGACACTCAAGCACTTCAGCCTCCAGTGGTTTAGCTTGCCTTCCTCAAATCTACGTACAGTCATGTGAAAAGGAAAGTTTTCAAGGATCCTACAGGTCTATGAAAAACTAAGCACACCCTTACTGCTTCCATAGGAATTAAAGCCCTGCTGATTATATGTACTTTAATTGATCATCAGGAAGCGTGACCACCTCTATAAAAGCAGAAGTTTTGGCAGTTTGTCCCAGCAAATCCCAGCAAATTCACCCAAAGGTCAGACCAGGCAACAGCTGCATCCCGGACTCTACGGGCCCCAGTTCACATGTCAAATGTTACGTTTTACAACAGTACAATTAGAAAAAGACTGAACCAGTATGACTTGTTTGGAAGGGTTGACAGGAGTAAACATCTCTATCTAAAGGTTTGCAAAGTTGCAGCTGAACAAACCACAAATCTTCTGCAACAATGTCCTTGGATGGACACGGCGGCAGTGTAGGGTTAATAATTTGTGCTTGTTGGTCATAAAGAAGAGTGAGCTATAATTCCTCCACAATGATGCGAGAGACTGACAAATTCACCCAGAACTTGACCCTACTTTCAAGTTGTTGCTAAAGGTGCTTCTGCTAGCTATTGAAGCATGAGGTGGACTTATATTTTTTTACAGGACTGCAGAGAGTCCTGTGAAAACTTTTTCAAAGTGCAGACACAATTATGTGTAAAATTATTCTTCTTTGCTCATTGGAACAAGAAGCAGAAAGACATACTGCACATGCTGAAGTCAGTGTGAATAGTGTACACAAGTAAATAAAGTTAGATGATGTTAAATAAAATAGCTCAATCCTAATGAAATGTTTCAGCTTAAAAAAAATCAGTAAACTTTTTGTCCCTTATTTTTATTGTTGAATCGATATGACTAAATGATTAAAACCACACAGACAATGAAAGGACAATGGGAGAAGAGACGATATGAGAAACATGATCTTTAATGTCAGATTGCAGAATATTGACAATGGATTCCACTTTTCATTTAAAAACCTTGAAAAACCCTCATTTAGCTATTTACAGTTTGCTGGATTCCTTTCTCATTTACACTATAAACAATGTATTAGCGATTTAACATTTTTCAACTGTACATCTTTGTTGCTTACTGCAGTGAATGTTATGCAAGTTATGCTTAATGTAAGCAGATTAACATTTTAAAATTCCTGCTTTTTTGAATAAATACTTTGAATGAATTCAAGCAAAAGTAAACCAAAAGAAAATCCCCCCCAGCTATTTCAGTAGTCCTCTGAAGGCTGAATTTAAGCCTTTGCTGCTTTTCATTAGCACCAGTTTAAATGTCTTAGAAACTGACCGAACATTATCAGTGATGTTTAAAGGACCAAATCGTGTTTTTGAGAACTAATTTCACCTTTCAAACCAACATCAGGTAAAGCACGAGGTCAACGTTTCATGGCGATCTCTCTCTTTTTCTCTCAGCTTGAAGAGAATTTTTCATTACAGGGACGGAGGCGTAACTGGGGTCCAGGCGGATGGCAGTCGGCCAAGTGGCGAGAGGTCATACTGAGCCGTATCATGCACTTCTGTGGCCGTGCTGTTGTCGTACATGGGAGAGCCAGAGGAGGGCACTGTTGCTGAATGAGACAGGGTGGGATAGTGGCTGCTGGAACCTCGAAGAAACTGGGAGCTCAGACAGTTGTTTATCCCCCCATTGTGGGACACCGGAGTGAGTGACGAGTTGCTCACAGACCACAGGCTGGTGTACTGACTGGACAGAGATGGACAGAAAACTTCTCATTCGTCTCTTCTTTGGATGTTTTAAAAGTGCTTCTCATTCAAATGTTCAGACATGGCATCAATAAAGTTTTTTTTAAAAAAGTGTTGTATTTGTTCAATGTGTTTTTTAGTTTAAATACATAAAGATCATTAAGTTTTTGCAAAGTGAAAAAGAAAAAATGAAAAGCTAAATTTGAGAGAAATGAAGGAGAGCTATTCAACGTCTCTGATGATGCTACTTTTTGTATGGATTTTGTATCTAACGGTTGTTTGTGAGAACAAACAAACAATCTCAAGTCAGTACCTCACACTCTTTAAAGCTTCAGTGTTAGAGTCAGTTTAAGTATTTTAACTTCTAATAACGTAATTCTTTTTGCACATGATCTATTTCAAAATGCATAAAAATGGACCTTTGCTACAAATAACAGATTTATAATCTAGTTTAGCTGAAATCTTTGCCTTATATATGTGTTTTTCCTTTCTCGCCAGTATTATTAATGCACTATTTGCATCTTGTATAATTATTTGTATGTTTAAATTATCATTTTGACCAAATGCGAACCAAACTCTTGTTCCTCCTAATGCTTTACTAATACTGGACTAAAAAAAGATAATAATTGAGAGAAGATTTGTGATCTTGCACATCCAAGGACTGAATTTTCATTGTCTTTTGTGATTATCCTATCATTTCTGACTAGAGTCAGAAAAATAAGCAGAAGAAAACAGCACAAACCTAGAACTGGTACCAGAGGTGGAGTTATGTGCCATGGGAATCATGCTCGAGTGTGTTGGCATCTGAAGACTGGACCAGTTATCATGGCTTGAAAGCATCGACAGACAGGTTGAAGAGTTGTCTGAGAAACTGGCTGCAACATAAAGACATCTGTGTTCAGTGGTTTTGGATATAGCTGTCAAAAGTCAAATTATATATCTTTATTATAAAGTTTATCACCTGTTGTTTTGTCTGTATGTTTCAGGACTAGTCCCCCTGACAGTGACAGGGGTGAATCTCATACATCCTTGTGCAAAGCCACGCTGTTTACAGCTCTTAGGCTCCGCTCGCACAAAAGCCAAAGGAATGCAAAACATTCCCAGCTCAGTAACGTTTGTTTGAGTTTCTTGTTAATAGTTGGGGAAGGAAGTGGTGTGATTCTATAAAAAGGTAACTGGTGGAGAGAGATACTCACTGGGTGAGTTGGTCCGATGGGTATACGGGCTGGAGTAAGGGGCAGAGCGGTGGTTCCTCAGAGTTGAGTAGCGCTCGCAACCATGGGATGGCGAGAGGGAGATTGGACTCCCAAACTGGCTGTGAGGACTGGCTGAAGGGCAGAGAGGAGCTGCCCCTGGAATAAACCAGCTACCCACTGTCTCCATGAGAGGAGAAAATAAAGGAAAAGATTAGCACCACTTGCTTATTACAATGAAAAAAGAAAGAAAAAAGAAGATATACTTACACTGAGAGTAACCAGATTGCTGGTTTTCACTGGCATCTTCTCGTATGTCTTTATTATCAGTCCTGTGAGAATGAAGACTGGTTGATTTTTACTGATTGTGTTGTTTGAGAAAACCCTTTCACATGCTTTAATGCAAAATTTAAACTTCACATGTATCCTTACCTCTCCTTTGCGTCTAGAAAGGCTTTGGCAAAAGGGTTGTACTTTATTTTCAGGGCAGTTATCTAAAATCCAAATAATAAAAGAAATGTATAAATAACGTGGATATGGTTTGTTAAAATTAAACAAACAAACGAGCAAAATTAAAACCCCAAATTAAAAAACCCCGAATAAAC